CCTTTTTTTTTCCCACGCGTCGCCCCCGCGGCCCGCGCAGCGCTGCGCGCCCCCCCCTGCTCCTCCTCCTCCTCCTCTTCCTTCTCCTGCTGCTCCCGCTGCTGAACCTCCCACCGCCCCCCGCCCCGCCGCGGCCGCCGGCGGAGCGGCCCCACGGGCGAGCCCCCGGCGCGGGCTGCGGCGCTGCCCGGCCCCGCACACACACACACACACACACACCCCCCACACACGCACAGACACACATATACACACACATATACACACACAGCGCACACACGCGGAGCTGGCACCGCCCGCCCGGCGCCTCCTCCAGCCCCCGCTTTTGTCTGAACTTGGGGGAGCCGCCTCCTCCCGCGCCCCCTCCGCGCCCCGCGGGGCCGCCGCCCCCCTCGGCGGGGCCGGGGGAGGTTTTGGGATCGCGGCGGCGGGGAGGGGAGAGGAGCGGAGGAGGAGGAGGAAGGGGGAAGGGGGGGTTGAAGAAGAACCTTTCCCGAGCTGTGGGTTGCACCGCGGGCGGCTCCGCAGCTCTCGCTGTCGTTCCGGGTCGCCTTTGGGTCTTTCCCCGCCAGTCCCGGTGGCAAGGGTTGGGGGGGAGGAAGGAATAGAGCGAGCTAAGATCAGATTAAAGCAGAAAATATAATAAACGAGAGGGTTGGCAAGGGGGGAACCGCAAGAAAAAAATAAATTAGAGACTTAAAGGGAAAGAGTCGCCATGTTTAACAGCTCTTTTTTTTTTTTCTTTTTCTTAAAAAAAAAAAAAAAAAGGATCTCCTCAATTCCACATAGAACAAGCTTCTCGATCCCAACCCTCCTCTTTTGTCCAATTCAATCTTTGGATAGATCTTTTGTTCTAACTCAGCATGAAAAGAAAAACTTTCTTTAAATGCTATAAACTTAAAACTAACTGAAGTCCCTAAACAAATCCTCCTCTGAGCATTCCAAACATATATACATGGAGCTTGTGTGCGTGTGCGTGCGTGTGTGTGTGTGTGTGTGTTTTTATTTAACCCTGGTGCATTTTCTGTTTACTATTATTCTCTGTGAACCAAAGCTCGCTGCAAGAAACTTATAAATACAGAGATAGCTTACAGGCTTTAAAACATAAAAAGCAGAGAATGTTTTGGATTTGAAAATCATAAATTATAATTTAATGCCAATAACAATTTACAACAAATGGTTGTTTACAATAAACTAACACAAAACAAACAAGTCAAGATCCTGTGTTCTTAGTAAGCATAAAAACTTCACACACACACACTCACATGGATAGCACTTGCAATAGAAAAAGCTAAATCTAGAGGTCAGCAATCCCCTGCAATAATAGTATATTTATATATTTATATATATTTATATATTTATAGAAAAGGAGCCATGATTCAGATGTAAAACTCTGCTCAAATTCACAGTCATACGCCCCTCAGCCCCCAGTACAGATGTGCCTAACTGGAACACACTAAAGATCAGGGTTTAATCGACTTTACAGAATGATCTCTCTCCCTCCCTCTCTCTCTTTTTGTGAAACCACAACATGGTGTAGTTACGTGTGGTAAAAAGGGAGAGGGGGAAGCCTCAGACAAGAACAAAATTGCAAGCTTTCACATACAAAGCATCTGCTATAGACCAAGGGGAGGGCGGGCGGGGGGAGAGAGAAAGAAAAGAAAAAAGAAAAAATGACACGCACACACACACAAAACAAAATATCAACCCCTTGCAAAACCACATCATCTTGCCTTCCTTCAGATTTGGGTTTTTGGGTGGGTTCTTTCTTTCTTTTTTTTTTTTTTTTTTTTTTTTTTTTTTTTTTTTTTTTTTTTTTTTTTTTTTTTTTTTTTTTTTTTTTTTTTTTTTTTTTTTTTTTTTTTTTTTTTTTTTTTTTTTTTTTTTTGCCTGCTCGGGATAGCACTCAATTCCCCAGTGGTGTGTCCGGTCCTGTGCCACCCACCCAGGCAGGTCCCACTCCCGGTGGGAGCTGTGCCTGTGCCAGGGCTGCAGGACAGGAGGACAGGGCCCTGTGCCTACACAGGGAAGATGCATGTACGCCCACGCGTGTATGGATGCCAGGATACATACAGACATGTAGCCCAGACGTAAAAGAGAGAGATGACCTGTGGTCATGCTTTCACAGTCTAAGGTTAAAAAAAAAAAAAAAAAAAAAAAAAAAAAAAAAAAAAAAAAAAAAAAAAAAAAAAAAAAAAAAAAAAAAAAAAAAAAAAAAAAAAAAAAAAAAAAAAAAAAAAAAAAAGGAAAAAAAATCAAATCCACTTGAGAGTATATATACATTAAAAACCGACTCCTCAGTGCTAGAAGCTAAAGCCACTCCATTTGAAGACCTCTCAATGACAACGATAGATGGCAACTACGGAGTATTATAAAAAATCACACATACTTAAAGAAAACTCATTGCAAACAACTGACCTATATTTACAATACTGCTATTACCTTGCTTGAATGATCTTGTGCGCGTATGTCAGACATTTACAAAAGATTTTTCGCCCCATTCTGATCATAAAATAGATACTGATCTCCAGAAGTCTAATACTTTTTCACAACAATACCTTTCCTACGCAGGCACTTAAGTGTGACAAAAATAAGGGCCTTTTCTTTTTTTTTTTTTTTAACCAGAAAATCCATTTTTAAATAACAGGAGGATTAGATGAATGGGGGTTGATGGTTTACCATTTCAGCATAGTACTTCCTAAAACCAGAGATAAACCAAGAACTTAAGTCCTCCACCCCCATCCCGGAATTAAACAGGTAAATACACTACAATACATCTGCTACAAACTTACTGTGACAAGTAAACAAATCAATCGCCTATGGACTTAAATGACTGCAAACTATAGAGAAGTAAGGTGGTTTCTGAAAGACATTTATGACAGCCAAACAAGTTTCAGATATCAAATAATATTTTAATTTCTGAATACTTTCAATTTTCCTTGGAATATAACACACAAAGACTCGACCAAACAGTTCAGTTATTATAACTTTTACAGTATACAGAAATGTTGCACTTAAAAAAAAAAAACCTTCAGTTTTTTTAAACACAAAACTGTAAACTCTAAGATACTGAATCAATCACGTTATCTATAAGTGCCAACAGTGTTATTTTGTCATGCTGATTTCAATGGTATTTTTTAAAAAGGGAAAATATCAACAATTATTATAATACAAAGGGCTTGCAAATATACAAACAGATAGAGGAGTTTAATAACAATTCATGATGAACTATGTGGAACCCAATTCAAATTACAAAAGTTCACTTTGCTTGTTTGCTTGGTTTTTTTTAAAATCAAAACCGTAGTGTGTCTTGGACACAAAATCCTTCTACCTATAATAAGTCCCCACAGTTCATTTTCTGTCCGAAATATCAAAAAAACCTAGATTTGGGGGGAGTTATATGACACGTGTGGTTCATTCGGGTCTATATAATTATAGCTCTCTCAGCTTCAAGCTAGATTTTGGGTCACCACCTTAAGTGCGCTTCCATCAATGTGTTGTTGAGGGGTTTTTTTCTCTTTTCCTTTCTTCCTATGATACTTTCGTGGACTCAGTTTTAATTCTTTCAGAACATATATTTTAAGGATACACAGTTTATTTTTTTTTTTTTAAAGAAGCCAAGGTTATATCAAAAATTATTATAGAACCACAGAATAAACTGGTTTGAAACCAGAAAAATACAAAAAAGAACAGCTATAGGTACATAGACACATAGGACAATTAATAATTTGGAAAAAAAAGACTTACTTTCTTCCGTTCTGCTAATTTTCTCCAAATTTCCTTTAAATGCACTTTAAGCGAGATTTTTAAAAAGTTTACCCCAAAAAAAAGAAAAAAAAAGAAGAAAAAAGAAAAAAAGAAAAAGCCCACCATCGTTTCTTTTCTTCTTCTTTCTCTTTTTCTTTCCCTCTTTTTTATTTTTTACAAAAAAAATGATAAGTAGCAAGTTTTTTTTTCTGAACGACACGGGAGTTTTTAATGCATTCTGTAAAAGTTCATTTGACAGTCTCTTTTTTTAATTCACAGTCCATTAATTTTTTCCTGTCTTCTCTTAGCAAACTTGTAACATCCTTTTACATCCTTTCTTAGCAGAAGGAAATTTAAGAAACAACCAGAACCCAAATGTCATTTGCTTTCCTTTCACTCTCATCTCTCCCTTCTCAATTTTTAAATTTTTTTTTTTAAGATTCTTTTTTTTTTTCTCTCTCTCGAATGTTTTATTGAATGGACATGTAAGGCCAGTTAAAACTGCTGCCAGACAGTAACATATCCCTGATTAGGGTTTCTATGGGGGTTTTACCTACCAAACGGACGAAAAACAATTGCTCTATGACAGAAGAGGAGACAGTGCGAAGGGAGGGGAGACGTAGTAATAGCTTCCCGAATCGTGTTGGCTGGTTGGGATACTGGCTCCTAACATACTCTTCCAAAGCACACTGTGACTTCTCCTGTAAACTTTCAACATGGGCTACATCAGAGAGACCACAGGCATCTAGAAGAAAGTGTATTAAAAAAAAAAAAAAAAAAAAAAAAAAAAAAAAAAAAAAAAAAAAAAAAAAAAAAAAAAAAAAAAAAAAAAAAAAGAAAAAAAAAAAAAAAGAAAGCAATCATCAGATTAAAAAGGTTCTTGTTGTGTTTGGTTGTTTTTTTTTTTAATTTCTAATTTGATTTTCGTCTTAATTTCTAGAATTAAGTGTCGATCATGCGCCATCACCTCGCCCCCCAGAGTTTAAGTGGGTTTTACCAAAAGGGACAATCTCTCTGTGCATGTGTGTGTGTTTGTATTTCTCTCTCTTCTGGAGGGTCTCCTTTAGGATTGAGCACAGCTCCCAGAGTCGAGATTTCTAATGGCACAACAGACCTGAGGGGTTGGCAAGAAGGTGCTGGCCAAGCTTAATTTTGTATATCTATATTTTGGGGGCGAAAGGCTGGGGGGGCAGGGAAGGCTTGAGTTGAAAGGGGGGAAAGGGAGCCACTATTTCTCCACACCCCCACTCCTTGGAAAGTAATTGGGGAGAACCTAACCCTGCAATGGGAAGCAATACTGCTCATAGTGATAGAAATCATAATAATAATAAAAAAACTGGCCCAGCCAAAGATAATGGCGCCCCGGATCCAGCAACAGATTCTCCCCCAAAGAAGACAACGCGTTTTTCTTCAGTCTTTGAAACTGATTTAAGTGGCCCTTTAAAACTGATCTTGTCAGTTTAGCCTATTCAGAGGCAGCCATGCAAACTGTGATCTCTCTGTTCATTTGAGCTGTTTCTTTTCCCCCCTCTTTTCTTTTCTCTTTCTTTCTTCCCCCCCTCCACTCCCCCCCCCCTTTTTTTTTTTTTTCCTCTTCTTCTTCTTTTTAAACCTAAAGGCCCTTACAAGAAGAAAACTCCCTGATAGGGTCTGGACATTTTTTTCTCTCTTTTTTTTTTTTTTTTTTTCCCTGATACGCTAAAATACAATAAGTTCCCTTTAAATCAGAGACGTCTGTGCTGAAAGAGCACAGGTTGTGACCTGACCTCCCTGTGGCTTTCCTAGGCACAGGGCTAACACATGCATATTCTGCGAGTCATTAGAACCCAGATTTTTTTACCCCCCCTCTTAAAAGAGGCTGCAGCAAACATTATATGCATCTATGAGTGTCTGCTTTACATCAGGGGAGGTTATTGGGGTGCTGCAGAAGCTGCAAGCATCACCCTATATTTTTTTGCATGCGACTATCTTCCCCAGAATCAGATAACAAGAAACGTTTATCTAGTTGGGAGGCAATTTACACGCCAGGCCTCACATTTTGAAAATAGTCATAAATTAAACAGTTACGACAGGATCGGACGATTGTTTTCTCAGAAGGCTAAAAAAAAAAAAAAAAAAGAAAAAAAAGAAAAAAAAAGTGATGTGGGAGAAAAGGCAGGATTGGAAACAAACTCCTCGGTGTGGGTGTGAGCTGGGCAGGGGCTGGGGAGGGATGTGAGCGTGTGTGGGATCCTTGCTGAGCAAGGGAGAGGAAAATGCATCCTAGAAAAACGATAGAAAAATAAAAGAAGCACCCCACAGACACCCCTTCCCACTCGGGATCCCTGTCTCCCTGTGGCTAGATGTGCCCTGCTCATTGATCACCTAAGGACTTAGCACGAGTAATTTGGGGGGGAGGAAAAAAAAAAAAGGAGAAGTTTTTTATGTGTAAAGCAATAATATATAAAAGGAAGTTTAGGTCACGACCCAGAACCTGGACAAAGTCCAGAAAATGACTTCGTTCCCCAGACCCCCTTTAACACAACAAGGAACGGATTGTGAGCCCTTCTTTTCCCACATAAACTACATTTTTTTCCTGTTTCCTGATATCAGGCTTTAAAAAACTCCGATGAGTAATTATTTTACAGGTCCTGCTTCCATTCATATGTTTATCGCGTGGCCACTTTCCCAAGCGCCCAAATGAGTTACAGACGAAATATATGTATTTTTAAACTTAATCCCCAAACTTCGAGGGCTCCAGCACACTGGGTTGCCGATGCAGCTTTAAAGTTAGCGATCTGAGATAACGTATTGCACAAATTAGCGAGCAGATTTTTTTTTTCCCCTCAGAAGAAAAAAAAAAAAATTTAGCCTCCAGAGTTAATATCAGGATTATTACTCACCCAGGTTAAACTCTAGTGCAAGCTAATTAGATTTCACAACGCACTCAATTATTGCTTTATAACTCATGCACTATTTCTAGGCAGCAAAAGTTGACACATATTTCCCCCCCCCCCCCTTTGATTATCTAAGAAACACCTCGAGGTCTTTTCCTCGGGAGAGGCATGGTTGTGCCACCCCGGAATTACACTGCGGAGCGGCAGCTTCAGCCTCCTCTTACTTTTCCATACTATCCCTGTCTACTTATGGTAATGATCTTTTCGCACCCGCTACTCGCTTTGGACTATGCAGTTCCTGCTGGGTACAAATGCAAACTTTTCCCCTTAGCTTAAATGACACAGAACTGCTCACTGCCACATTCTGTTTAAATCAGAGACAGCTCTTTGGAAAGTTGATTTATTTTATTTTATGGAATGGCAGGGAACATATTTTAAACTCAGCTTTGTGCATTTAACTTTTTTTTTTTTTTTTTTAATTCAATTTTTAATCCTGCAGGGCTTTTTTCCCTTCCTGGCTGCCCATAAAATGATCCTCTTTTTAAAGTGGTTTCACTGATAGGACGACTTGTATTTAACAACATCAAACAGATTTTGCTGCTGTTCGGATGCGTGTCATTAAATGCAACAACCCAGAGCTATACTGTTAAATAAAATATTATTTTCAATGGGAAGAGCGCAGTCTCTCGTGGCGAATGGGTGCTTCTTCCCGGGCCCCTTCTTTCCCAGTCCCCAGCATTATTCAGCTAGGGTTGGGGTACATTTTTGTATTTTGGTTGTCCTTTCTTTTGGCTTTTTTTTTTTAGTTTTGTGTGTGTGTGTATTTTATTTTTATTTTATTTTTTTTCTAATTTGCACTCCCTGGAAGATGGGATGCTCGGATCCGAGGCCCTGAAGGGGAGACCACAGGGCACTGCTTCCTAAAAGGAAAGAGACCGCGCTGGTTTCTCGGGGGGAGCAGGGAAGCAGTGATGGGGTGCAGGCAATAACACTTTGCAAGAGCAAACAGTTCTCAAGGGGGGCCCGGGGAAGGGAAAAAAAAAAAAAAAAAGGAGCAAAGAAATGCAGCCTACCTGAGGTGAAGAGGACTATGGCCTTTAAACAGCTATATTCTGCAGAGTCGACATGCAATGCTTTCAGTTTTTCTACTTGCTCTTGGAAGATTCGTATGTGGTCCATAAAGGCGACCACTCGGTCAGCAGACATTGGCGAAGCGTGGAGGCCAGCAGCTGCCAGGAGCGGAGCTACGTGGAGGGGCATGGAGCACTGGGCAGCGTTGAGGACAAATAACTCGCTCCAGGTCAGCCTCAGGAGGGCCACCTGGTCTGTGATCTGGAGGTCTGGGAAGAAGGGGATATTCCTGGCCCACTCCACCGCGCTGAAGAGCATCCTAGCTGCCAGTTCACAAATGTTCTCGATGCCCATGATGTTGTTGGGTTGCATGCACTGACTGCCAAAGCGGGAGGTGGGGTAGGGCTCTGCTCTCAGAAGAAGGGAGATATATCCGGATAGGTAGGAATGGCAGTTGAGAGGGTCCCCATTTGTCAAGGCGAACTGACCATGAGTTGGCTGTGTGGGTGGCATTCTGCCCCTCTGGACCGCTGCAGTAAATAGAGAAGAAACTACAGCTATTAATATCTGAATTGCAACCATCGATTCAAATACAGCCTGCTTTGTGTGCTTCTGCGTGCCTGTGTGACCCCGGACCCGGCCAGCTTCAGGGGGAACATGCATTTTCCCAGCCAGAGTTCAGCCCCAGCCCCGGTTAAATGCTCCGCAGTTCTCGGGTCAAGTCAAAGCAACAATAAAAGCTGAGGAACGCTGTAGGCTCGGCCAGGGCTGCTGCGGGAGCCCAGCTTCTCACTTCCCAAAACACACCACAATCCAGTTATTTCCCCCCTCCCCTCCACCGCCACCCCCTCCTTCAAGAGATGCAGGATACGTCTTTGTGTGCCCGGGTGTATTTTCTTCATTACACCTAAAACAGCTCATTGATTTGAGGCTGGGGGAGCGGGATGGGGAGGGAGGAGGGGAGAGGGAAGAAACACTTCAGTTCGAAATCCCCGGCTCTGGTCCCACACGCGTTTCTCGCCCACTGAATACATTGTTGCTGCTGTTATTATGTATCCCCCCCGCTCATAAAAAATACCAAAGGAGGCGAAATCACCCCACAACATCCCCGGCAGGTCCCCTGGTGAGGCTGAGGGCATTATCCAAAGGCACCTTCCCCCGCTGCCCATGGAAAGTGGGCCTTTCATTTTGTTAATAAATTTACACGGTGACAGCGAGAGAAAAAGGAGAGAGAAAAAGGGCTCAGAGGCAGAGAGACAACAAGAAGGGAGAACGCCTAAAAATGTGCTTGATTTATATTTGTTATCGCCCGTATTCCAAGGTTAGTTACTCTTGCAGAAACACAAAGAGAGGAGCCCAGCGAGTCCCAAGCCCCCTCACCCTTAACCTACATAGCAGCGTCCAGACACAGAGCACGCACTGGAAAACTGCAGGCTCACATTTCCCGTCTAATTTTATATCACAAAGACTCCACTTGCAGAGACCCGAGCACCCCACACTTACTTCTGGGCTGCTCCTTCCCCCCCACCCCATCCCTTCTACCCCCTCCTGCCTCTCCCGGAGGAACAAGAAAATAAGAGGAAGAAAAGTGAGGTAATAACAACCAGGAAAGGCAGGCACACGGCAGTGTGTATATACACACACACACACGCGGAGATGTGTGTGTATATATATTTTTAAAGGAGGAAAAATCCGGCTGGGAATCCACAGTGGAGTGCTGTAGAGCCTCGGTAGGGTGAGTCCCATTGTAATAGTAATTTGAACCGCCTGTGTAAAATTGCAATCTAAGGCAGGGTGCTGGAGGATATATATATATGTGTGTGTGTGTGTGTGTGTGCATCTCGGGAGGCTCCGTGTGTGTGTACGTACACACATGGACAGACACACACACACAGAGCTGCTCGGGGGACAGGGGCTAAGGCTGAGCATGCAGGAGGAAGCATGAAGGAAAAGTAACCACACGTCAGAATCATCATCTCGCTCCTAAGCAGCGTGAAACTAAAAATCCACTTTCAATAAACCTCCATCAGCAAAATCAAAACAAACACAAATCAATTACGAGTGCAGGAGAAAGCATGCGAGAGCCCCTGACTCCCTGCCCACCCTCCCCAACACCGCTTTCTTTCATTACAAGAAAGTTTCTGGCTAGTTTATTCGAGGGGGGTGGGTAAGGGGGAGGAAAGGTTCTGGTTGGGTTTGGGGTTTGGGTAGGGAGTTTAAAAATAATAATAATAATTATATATATTATTAAAAAATTTAAAAAAAAGAGAAAAACCAAACAAACCCCAAAACGCAGCGAGTGAAAAAAAAATTTGCAAAACAAATGAAATCCCAATACCTTCCCGTCTCATGCCAACTTTGAGGCATTTTTTGAGGCGGCAGTACTGACACTGATTGCGGTGGTGCTGGTCAATGGGACAGTTCCTGTTGGCACGACAAGTGTAGCTGAGATTCCTCCTTACACTCCGCTTGAAGAAACTCTTGCAACCCTCGCAGGTAAACTGGCCATAATGTTTGCCACTAGACTTGTCCCCACAAACCACACATTCAATGTGCTGCTGCTGCTGCTGCTTGTCTCCTTGGTTCTGCTGGCTCGGCGGGTTGGTCTGGGCTGGCGTACTGGGAGGGCCCCCGGGCCCCGGGGTCTGTGGGGTGTGCGGGGTCCCGGCCGGGGGTCCCTGCACCGGCGGGGCTTGCGAAGGCTGCGTTCCCTGAGCTCCGGGCACATCGTCCTGGGGGTCTCGCCACGCACCGACTACCATTGCCATATCTATTGGACACCGTTGCCAAACTTCCTGTTCCCCCTTTATTTTCAAAGTTTGTTTGCTTTGCTTTTCAGATCAGCTTTGCAGCAGTCTTTTTATTTTTTGTCCTCCCCTCTCTCTCTCTCTCTTTCCCCCTCTCTCTTTTGTTGTTTTGCCTT